TGTGTATTAGTTATGACTTGTATGTTTTCTCACTGGGTCGAGCAGTCCCTTGCAGGATAGCAACAGCTGTAATGGTTGGTAAATTATTATTAGAAAAAATTATTCCCAATTGGGGAATTCCCTCTGAGTTACACAGTGACTGAGGAACTAATTTCCCTGGGCAAATCATAAAATCCATCTGTAACATTTGGCCTATTCTACAGCATTTTCATTGTACCTGCCACCCCCAGTCCTTTGGATTGGTGGAACGTATCAATGGTACAATCAAAATTTAACTAGCCAAAATTTCAGAAGCCTTGAGTCTCCCCTGGACAAAAGCTCGCCCTATAGTACTCCTCAACCTGAGATATACTCCTTTTGTAAACATAAGCTTTCTCCTTATGAAATAGTCGCTGGTCACCCAATGAATCTGGATGAAGGAACATATGAACCAACTTTACTAAAAGGAGACATTTTACATTATTGTCAAAGGCTTATTAACCAGCTTAAAGAAAATGATAATTGAGGAACCAATTCATTTCAGAGTGCACTCCTGGGAGACAAAGATTTCAAAGATCATGGCTTACAACCAGGAAATTTGGTCTTTTGGAAAAGACATGAAATAAAAGACTCTATCCAATCTCATTGGAGGGGACCTTACCAGGTATTACTAACTAACCCATGTGCAGCTAAACTCAAAGGAGTTAACTCGTGGATTCACATTTCTCATTTAAAAAAGGTACCTGACTGTAAATGGACATCTACTCCTGTCTGTATACCTGCCTCCATCTACAGCAGAGACCAAAGACTTTTCACAGATGAAAAGCCTGTGACATGAAGGCAGACAGCTATCCCAAGACACCAACAAGGCCTGTATGCTCACAAACTGATGCTGCTCAAACCTTGTTCCTTTTTTCTTTTGGGGGGGTAGGGTTAATCCTCACCCGAGAATATTTTTCATTGATTTTATATATACATATATGTATTTTTTTTATCCTCACCCGAGGACATTTTTCTACCTCTTGTTCAGATAGAGTGGGAAGGAGAGAGAGAAAGAGGGAGGAAAACATCAATGTGAAAGGGACACATCTAGTGGCTGCCACTCGCACAACCCAACCAGGGCCGGGGACAAACCACAACCGAGGTACATGCCCTTAGTGGGAACCGAACCCAGGTCTCCCTGGACTGCAGACCGATGCTCTAATTGCTGAGCCAAACCAGTCAAGGCTAACTGCTGAGCCAAACCAGTCAAGGCCCGTTGATTTTATTTTTTTAGATAGAGTGGCAGGGAGGGAGGGAGAGAGAGAGAGACATCAATCCGTTGCCTCCTCCACAACCCTGACCAGACCGGGGACAAACCTGCAATCCAGGTACGTGCCCTTGACCAGGAATCAAACCTGAGACCCTACAGACCTCGGGCTGATGCTCTAACCGCTGAGCCAAACCAGCAAGGGCTCAAACCTTGTTCTTATATCATCTGTTATTGATTGAATGCACACAAAACGATTTTTATATAGTTATTATCCTACTTATGGTTTCCTAGTGGAAACAATTATCTGTCTTCCCAGACCCCCTCCCTTATTAGACATGAAAAATTTAATTTGGGTACCTGCTAACCTTTCCCACCTATTAGACAACGATATTCTGATTATCAGTTATGACAATGAAGTGAATGCTCTGTTGGCCACACATTGGTCTTCTCTTACTATCAATATAAGCTTTGGTATATATATATATTTTTTCTGGATATGTCTATTATAAAGAACCCATCTTGGGCAAATACCTCCAAGAACACCTCCCTGATAATTCCTCTGATAGAATTATATATGGATATAATCTAGATGAGTTTTGTATAGCTATAGAAATGGATGATGAAAAGATAAAAAAGAATACCTGAATATGATGGAAAAAGCTTGCAGCGACCTGCCCTATCTGTCCTAGTATATCTTGTCCTCAGACTCTTCCTTGACTAGTATTAAACATTTTCTGTTCCTAATCAGTGTTGCAGTTTAATACTGTTGCTCTTATTCCTCATATGTAAATGTTATACTAGGTGCAGAAAACAAAACTCAAGACAAGCAGCAAAAAGACTCGGATCATGGTAGTCAAAGATAAGAAATAATCCCGAATACTTTTTAACAAGGACATATAGGATCTGACTGCCTCCCATTCACCTGCCTTTTTCTTTTTTTTTTTTTAAATTTAATTTTATTTTTGTTACAGATGTTTCTCCTTTTTTACCCCATTGACACCCTCCTCCCTCCCATCCCCCCACCCCATGCCCAACTTTGTTGTTCATGTCCATTGGTTATGCATACATGCATATAAATTCTGTGGTTTATCTCTTCCCTCCCCCCACCATCCCCTCTTCTGAGGATGGTCAGTCTGTATCCTACCTCCATGTTTCTGGATTTACCCTATTCCTCATACTGTTCATTATATTCCATAAGTAAGTGAGATCATGTGGTATTTGTCTTTTTCTGCTTGGCTTGTTTCACTTAGAATAATACTCTCCAGGTCCCTCCATGTCCTCTCAAAGGACAAGAGATCTTTCTTACAGCTGCATAGTACTCCATTGTGTATATGTACCACTGCTTTTCTATCCATTCGTCTACTGATGGACACTTGGGCTGTTTCCAGATCTTAGCTATTGTAAATATTGCTGCTATGAACATGGGAGCACATATATTCTTTCTAATTGGTGTTTCAGGCTTCTTAGGATATATTCCTAGAAGTGGGATCACTGGGTCAAATGGCAGTACAATTTTTAATTTTTTGAGGTGATACCACATTGTTTTCCATAGTGGCTGCACCAGTCTGCATTCCCACCAGCAGTGTACTAGAGTCCCCTTTTCTCCACACCCTCGCCAACACTTGTTGTTTGATGATTTGTTGATGGCGGCCATTCTGACAGGTGTGAGGTGATACCTCATTGTTGTTTTAATTTGCATCTCTCTGATGATTAATGATGTTGAGCATTTCTTTATATGTCTCTTAGCCATTTGTATGTCCTGTTTGGAGAGGTGTCTATTTAGCTCCTCTGCCCATTTTTTAATTGGGTTCTTTGTCCTCCTTTTGTTGAATTGTATGAGTACTCTATATATTTTGGAAATTAACCCCTTATCTGATGTATCATTGTCACTTGCCTTTTTCTTTTGAATAATAATAATTTGACTTCAAATGCCATTCAAGGTTATGGTCTTGACCCAAGGCAAACACTGACTCTGAGACTTCCTCAGAATGAGCCTTCCTAGCACCGCGGGACCTCATTATCCAACCAAAAGTCTGGTCATCAATGCATCCTTTGGTTTGATTTATGACCAAAAGGGAGACATGTGGACAAAAAGGGGCCACATACTAAAGCTGACAAACTCAGGGGAGGCCTGCGTGGTGGCCTTACAAATTCAGAGACCTAAAGTAGCCACATAGGATGGTCTGAAATTAAAACTTTTTAACTAAAAGCAGTGTACAGTCGGCCCTCATTTATCGTGGTTAATCAGTTCCAGACTCTACTGCAATAAATGAATTTCCCCGAAGTAGGATTCTTTATTTATATACAGTTGTCCCTTGCCACTTCACACTTCGACTTTTGCGGCTTCACTCTATCACGGTTTTTTCAAATACTGAACACTGTACCATATTTGAAAAAACCTCCAGAGTGAAGCCGCGAAAGTCGAAGTGCGAAGTGGCAAGGGACGACTGTGTGGCAGGTAGTCATATCCTAAGCTAAAATCTTCTGTGACAAAAGTCAATCTTTACCTTAATTGAGCCTGTCTGTGGTCTTTTGCATTTACAATAACATAACTTGGGAACGTCAAAGTAAATTCCTTTTATAGGACCCCTCAAAGTACAATCACCTCACTAGAGCAGAGATCAAAAATCCACTCATTGTTATGGTGCTCATGTTAATTGTTGACTGTTAACTATCCTGTACACACTTATGTAAAAGAAGTATGTGTCTATCATTTACACTTTATCCAATCTCAGAGCTCCCCCCCACCCCACCTGCCCCACAACCTGGCTTTGCTTTCTCCTACCCCCCTAACCTATCACTAATGGATTTCTTCATAACATACTTGTGAATTCTCTTTTTATTGTAATGTGTAAAATAGGGTGTAAAACTGCCATTTTTCTGGGGCCTTTTCTCACTCTGTTGAGATACTGCTTCTCGGCAACTGTCATCAGTTTGGCTCAAATAAACTCACAAAAATTCTCTACAGGTTTGAATGTTTCTTACATTGACACATGCTTGTTATAAAATTATTTCAAAAAGTAAGACAAATAGCCCGGCCAGTGTGGTTCAGTGGTTGAGCGTCGACCAATGCACCAAAGAGGTCATCAGTTGGATCCCCAGTCAGGGCACATGCCTGGGTTGTGGGCTCGATCCCCAGTGGGGGGTATGCAGGAGGCAGCTAATCAATGCTCTCTCTCATCGATGTTTCTATCTCCCTCTCCATCTCACTTCCTCTTTCTAAAATCAATAAATAAAATAAATAAATAAATAAATAAATGTAAGACAAATATATAAATCCTATTTCTTTTATTCTAGCCATCATCCTACCCAAATCTCTAGTTGCTTTTGTTTTTATGTTTTTTTATTTTATTTATTTTTTTGGTATGTGCCCCTAGTGGGAACCGAACCCGGGACTCTCTGGTCCGCAGGCCAAAGCTCCAACGGCTGAGCCAAACTGGCCAGGGCACTTTTGTTTTTATTTTATACAAATGAACTCAAACTATAAAATTTGACCATTTTAAGGCACATAATTTTAGTCCATACATTCGATCTTAATTTTATCTACTACCAAAGAATTACAGGAAATTAATTGCAATAACACTTTTAAGATCTTCTTCTATATATTCTTTTAATATCAACAATTTTGGTTTCATATAAATATAATCTTATAATCAGTAGTTGATTGGTTTAAGATGCTAAAATAGTCCAGTTTAATTGTGCCCTAATAGGCTGCTTGACTTAAACTGATTCTCTAACCAGTCTGTTTAATAAACATAAATAAAATTACCTGTTTCATCATGGTAGTTCACAGCTTCTGTCTCCATCCATGCATTATCAGTGTTTCGAGGATCATCAACATATCCCTTATATATCTGTTTTTAAAAGGAGGCAGACAAAAAAAAAGTGTAGGGTGAAACAGGAATGGGTAGAGCAGAAGCATGTTACCATCATTAAAACCAGCAATGCACATTTCTTTTTTTTTTTTTTAATCCTCATCCGAGACATTTTTCCTTTTTTTTTTTTGTACAGACAGAGTGGGAGGGAGAGAGAGGAAGAGAGAGAGAGGGAAACATCGATGTGAAAGGGACACATCGAGTGGCCGCCACCCGCACGACCCAACCAGGGCCGGGGACAAACTACAACCGAGGTACGTGCCCCCAGCGGAACCGAACCTGGGTCTCTCCAGACCGCAGGCCGACGCTCTAACCGCTGAGCCAAACCGGCCAGAGCCAGCAATGCACATTTCTAATGTGCATATAATTAACGTTAACTGTTCACTTTAAAATGAGTAAGCCCTTGCCGGTGTGGCTCAGTGGTTAGAGTGTTGGCCCAAGCACCGGATGGTCTTGGGTTTGATTCCAGTTGGGTTGCAGGTTTGATCCTCAGCTGTGGTCAGGGGCATGTGGGAGGCAACCAACCGATGTGTCTTTTCTACATCAATGTTTCTCTCTCTCTTTCTCCTTCCCTCCTTCCCTTCCACTCTCTCTAAGAATCAATGGTAAAAATATCCTCAGGTGAGGATTAACAACAACAAAATGGTTAGGATGGTAAATTATATGTTATATGTTTTCACCACAATAAAAAAAAAAAAAAAAAAGAGAAAAAGAAATACCATAAAACCTTTAACATAGCATTCCTTATACTTATTTTAAATTTCCCAGGGAACAATATTCTCAAGAACCTCGGAGGCAGTTTTAAAATTCACAAAACCCTCAACACCTCAGATTCTAATTTCAGAATTTAATAACAATAATATTTGGGCCATATGGGTTTTTTTAAGTCTTTATAATTTAAGTATTCTTTTGTTTTAATAATTTCTATGATTATCATTTCAGACCTACAAAGACAGATTCTTCTAGTTAAACAAATGAGATCTATCAGTAAAGTTAGTATTATAAATATTAGTAAATATTAATATTTAAGCTATTAATACATGAAAAGATTTCAATCTAGCTATCTAACACAAGTGTGAACCAAAAAAAACTGAACAGTACGATACATAATTAAGAAATCCTAATTCTAGAAAGAAAAAAAAGCAATCCAAACAAAAGCCAACAAAAAAAAAGAAACCCGGTCCTTTTCCTTCTTATTAGTATACATATATCTTATAAGGTGATTTTAAAAATCTTTACAGCCCAGCCAGTGTTGCTCAGTGGTTGAGCGGCGATCCGTGCACCAAGAGGTTACCGGTTCAATTCCCAGTCAGGGCACATGCCCAGGTTGTGGACCAAATCCCCAGTGGGGGGCATGCAGGAGGCGGCCAATCGATGTTCTCTCCCATCAATGTTTCTCCCTCTCCCTTCCTCTCTCTCTCTAAAATCAATAAAGAAAAAAATCTTTATAAAGGATATGCAGACAAAACGGACACAAGACTTAAATGGTTATAAACCAGAGAAACTCTGAATAATAATTTCAAATGCAAATGTCATTTCAAAAGAGCTGCATTCATGCAAAAAAATGTTTTTAACATTTTCTGTTGGATGGGTGAGCTTAGTGTCACATCAGCTCACATCTAAAGAAAAACTAAGAAGAAAAAAATGTATTATAATAAATGATGTAACTGAACTAAAGTTGGGCTATAAAACTTTAAGAAGAAATCTATTTACAGTGAAGATCTATAATTTAAGTTGTTTTTATGAATACGTATTACAAATATACAAGGATTTAACTTTATTCATAGAATGAGCTACCAGATTTCCAGGTGAACTTTAAGTAATTCTCACTAATGCATAGGACTAACTCCTTCCCAGAAGCCATCATTTCTTACCACTAGATGTTCCTGGCTGAAGAGTTTGTGCAACTGTTCCTCTAATTTTCTTTTTTCAGCACTGGATTTCTGTAAGGAGTTGAGAGCTTCCTCACCAAATTCTCTTTTAAGTGTAGCGCTAATCTTCTCTCCTGGATCCACCATCCCCTGAGTCACATTTTTGTTAAAAAAAAAAAAAAAAAAAAGTAATAAGCTTTCATTCAACAAATATTGAGTGATGCAGTGAACATTTACTGTTCTGTCTGCTCATAATCATGATCCCTATTCTTCTGTCATATATTCTTCTCTAAACCATTTGTTTCAAGTGAAGCAGCCTATCAGGGTATCTCATATATATCTGACCACAGTAACTGGTCCAAGGTTAACCTATGGTAAACTGAGACAAGCAGACTCCTTTCCAGCTAAGGGAGGAAGGCCTGGAGGCAAGAAAGAATACAGAAAGTTGATCCTTTCCCTTCATTCCATTCCAGCCACACTTCAGTGTTCCTAAGATGTGCCAGACATACTCCACCTTAGGGCCTTTGTACCTGCTCTATTAGTTCTGTTTAAGATGCTTTTCACCAGATATCCACATAATTTACTGATTCATCTCCTTCAGATCTTTACTCAAATATTACCTTGTCCAGAAGACCTTCTCTAACCACCATGTGTAAAATGGCAAACTCAAAAACACTTCCTAGTGCCCTTCCTTAATATTTATCACCTTCTAACATACAATTATTTATCTTATATGATCTGTCTTCCCCACTGGAATGTAAGCACCAAGAGGTCAGGGATGTTTGTTCGTGATGCTCTGTTGCATCCTCAATGTCTAAATTATTAACAAAATATATTTATTTGATGAATGACTTGCAAAATCATATCAGTGACAATAGTTCCCTGATCAGAACCTCAAATAAAAATAAAAATATAAAATCCTATGATGAAATCATTATTGCATTTTGCACTCAGTGTGAGTGATGTATGGACTATTTGGCTTGTAATAGGTACCCTAGGCTTTTATCACAGTCAGCTGAGATATTCATTTCCATTCAATTTTTACCTTACAAAGAAAAAAACATTCTTGCAGATGGTATGTGTATAAAAAGTCATCCTCTCATCGAACTATCTCCATTCCTCATTATGGTGTTAAATGTAAAGCCTCTGCCACACGCATACACATTTTTTTAAAAGCCACTTAAAATATACCACTGACCTGAAGTCAACAAAAGTACACTCTTCCTGATATTACGATAATTTTTAAAACTACAAGAAATAGTAAGTAATAAAAGTTATCTATTTTATTATGTTTAAAGTTATCAGAATTCAACAACAACAACAAAAATGCTAAAAAATCGCCCGGCCAGTGTGGCTCACTGGTTGAGCGTCAACTCATGCACCAAGAGGTCACTGGTTCAATTCCAGGCCAGGGCACATGCTGAGGTTGTGGGCCCGATCCCCAGTAGGGGGCATGCAGGAGGAGCCCAATCTATGTTTTCTTTCATGGATGTTTCTATCGCTCTCTCCCTCTCCCTGCCTCTCTCCCTAAAATCAATAAAGAAAAAAAAATTTTTTTAAAAAGAACTAAAAGTCTTACCTTGGACTTGGGGTAGGGGTTTTCTGAGACGGGGCCCACATTAATGAGTACCTACTTTATACCAACCGCTCTGTATGTTATCTCTAGTAATCCTATAAAGTAAATATGATGATCTTTATTGTAAAGACGAGGGTATGAATTCTGTACCACTCAGCTCAAAGTGGAAAGGCCAGGACATGAGCCTAGGTCTAACCCCAAAGTCCATGTGCTTTCCCAAGGGTTCCAGATTCAGACTCAGATTCTAACAGCCCTGTTGTATTATCCTACAGTTGTTATGACGATGACACCTCATTGCAGTGTTGAATGACAAAAGAATCACTCATTGAAGTGGTAAAGAATGGAGTAGAAACGATCCACACACAATAATCTTGAGGTAAATAAAGCAACTAAAACTAAAAAGAACTTAAAACATTAATTTGATTTCGTTTTAATGCTCACCCCTGGGATTGCCCACTCTCCACAGTCTTTCCTTTTGATCGCAACAAACTGCAAAATGTTTTTCCCGGAAGTGGGGTGGGTGATTTTATTTCCACTTCTATCCCTTTTCCACCTGTAAATAGTAATGTAAGATCATAACCAATTTAGAACAAAGACCAAGGTTCTACCTCAAGCTTGAGTCAAAGTTATAAATATACGGAGAAGGTGGGTGCGCGTAAGGCGGCTGCTGACGGAAGCCATCTGGGGCCATCGGGCTCCATCCCCGCCATCGGCGCCCGCGGGCAGCAGCTCATGCGTCCGGCCGGAATGGCATGATCCTAAAGCCCCACTTCCACAGGCACTGGCAGCGGCGCGTTGCCACGTGGCTCAACCAGCCGGCGCGGAAGATCCGCAGACGCAAGGCCTGCCAAGCTAAAGCCCCCGCATCACCCCGCGCCCTGCATCCGGCCCCATCGGCCCCTAGTGAGGTGCCCCACAGTGAGGTACCACACCAAAGTAGGAGCCGGCAGGGGTCCAGCTTGGAGGAGTTAGGGGCGGCCAGCATCCACAAAAAGGCGGCCAGAACCATTGGCATCTCCGTGGATCCGGAAGGCGGAACAAGCCCACAGAGCCCCTGCAGGCCACCGAGCAGCGGCTGAAGGAGTGCCGCTCCAAGCTCATTCTCTTCCCCAGGAAGCCTTCGGCCCTAAGAAGGGAGCCGGTTCTGCTGAAGAACCAAGTTGGCCACCCAGGTGACAGGACCAGCCATGCCCGTAAGGAATGTCTACAGGAAGGAGAAAGCCAGGGTTATCACAGAGGAAGAGAACTTCAAGGCTTTGGCCAGTCTTCGCATGGCCCGCACCAATGCCCGGCTCTTCGGCATCCGGGCAAAAAGAGCCAAGGAAGCTGCAGAACAGGATGTTGAAAAGAAAAAATAAAGCGCGGTTGGCAACTTGTGATAAAAAAAAAAAAAAAAAAGTTATAAAGATGATTTTTCTTTATAATAGAGTATACATAAATTTACTTCAAATCAGCTTGTTTTACCAAAAAAGTACTGTGTTAGAAATATGTCTACTTTCCATAAAAAAAATATTGTATTCCCCATAATAAAAATTCAAAATATAACTAGTTTTTATAGTTTTAAAAATACAACCAAAAAAAGAAGTTTAAAAGCAGGACAAAATTTAAAGAAAGGGTCATAAAAATTTTTTTTTTAAAAGTCCACGGATCCTTTTTAAGAATTACAGGTAGTGTAAAAGATCTGGTAATATTTGCTTTTAGCAGTTCACTCTGTGTTATCAGAAATGCAGATTATATGATACAGGTTCAGCGGTTCTCTAAAGTAGTGTTTCTCAATCATTATGCCCCTTTTTAATTAAAAAATATCTCACTCTATCCTTACTTTAATTTTAAATTTTGAGTAGAATTGCATATGGCTTTTTAAGAAGTATCAAGGCTATGTTCATTTCAGAGTGCACTTTTTCTAACCACAGCCTCTTTCCCAGAGATGTTGATAATCTCTTCCCCTTCCCTACCCCCACCCACCATATTTACCTCCTTCCACCCAATTTCAAGAATTGTTCTAATAACACTCTTAGGCGAAGATAAAGATTTTTAATTTCCAATACTAAACTAAAAAAGAAACCTATGATCTAGTCATTGCTCTGCAGGAGACAATGAAATAAACTTAGGCATGAGTTTCCAAACTTCTTTATATAGTGGCTGACTACTGTATCTAATCTATAATTCCTCCCCTGGAAGAGTTCATAGTCCAGCAACGGAGCTAGACATATAAGTGAAAAAAATTGTAAGCCACAGCAACAGTTTAATAAGCACAGTAACTGGAAATAAAACAATAATTGGTATAACAAGACAACATCTATTTTTAAGGATGCCAGACAGAAAAATTACAAGTGAGAAATAAAGTTGTAAAATAAAATGATGTGTTCAACACACAGAGTTCCCAGTCTGTTGCTTTAAAAAAAAAAAAAATCATTTGTTTACAATATCTTTCACTGGATAAAAAAATAAAATATGTTTAAGAAACTGAATGTAGTCCTGCTCGGTTTGGCTCAGCAGTTAGAGCATCAGCCCTCCCTCACATGTTCAATTCCCTGTCAAGGGCACATACCTGGGTTGCAGGTTCAATCCTCGGCCCCAGGCCCAGTTGGTGTCCTGTGGGAGGCAACCAATCAATGTGTCTCTCTCACATGGATGTTTCTCTCTCTTTCCCCGTCCCTCCCTTCCACTCTATCTAAAAATCAATAGAAAAATATCCTCAGGTGAGGATTAACAAAAAAAATAATAAACTGAATGTAGCCCTAGCCAGGTGGCTCAGTTAGTTGGAATATCATCCTGTGCACCAAAAGGTTGCAGGTTCGATTCCTGGTCAGGGAACATACCCTAGGTTTCGGGTTCAATCCCAGATCAGGGAACATAAGGGAGGCAACTAATCAATGTTTCTCATATTGATGTTTCTCGCTCTCTCTCTCTCTAAAAAAAAAAAAAAAAAAGCAATTAAAAAAACTGGGTAAGGATTAAAAAAAAGAGAGAGAGAAGAATCACAATATTTACAGCCAAGGCAGTTTTCCGTAATGTACTGGTAATCAAGTTCGCCTCACAATATTTACAGCCAAATACCCCTGATTCAAATTTCAGATCTACAAAATTTAGGCAAGTCACTTAACCTCAGTAAGTCTACATTCAGGTCTACAAAATAGGTATATTAATACCCACTTTGGTGAGTTTTGTGCGAAACAAATGAAAAAACTAATAATAGCACTTAGCAAAATGCCTGGAGTAAAACTATATTTTTAATAATTTGTTTAGTTTTGTTGATTCTTCAGCATCTTTCATTCTTCGTTTCCTTCTTTTCCACAACCACTCCTCTATTTAGAGCAGTGGTTCTCAACCTTCCTAATGCCATGACCCTTTAGTACAGTTCCTCATGTTGAATGTGGGCATATCTGCATGTGGGCAGACCTGCCTGGAGACAGACAGAGGAGCGGTGTATCCGTTCCTAAGACTATTGGAAATATGTGTTTTCCGGTAGTCTTAGGCGACCCCAGTGAAAGGGTCTTTCGACCCCCAAAGGGGTCATGACCCATAGGTTGAGAACCGCTGATTTAGAGGAACTCACCATTTAATATATGCATCACTGAGATAGCAAAGAACATTAACCTAGGAGTACAGGTGAAAGCTAGACTCTGACACTTGTGGGCTCTTTTACAGCCTGGACCATCTTCAGTTCTCTCATCTGTGTAATTACAGAGTTATGCTCAAAGAGTCAACATTTCACAAACATGACATACAATCACCATGCTTAATCAGAGCCGTTATTTGGTCTACCATAAATAAAGATAAGCTAATTAGAGGCTAACTTTCAAGTCTCTGGATTCCCTTTACTGCTGCTTGTCCCCTTATTAACATTCCTCCTTCAAATGTTCCAGCTTTTAGTAAGCCTCACCAAAATTAGAAAAAAACTGGTACTGCCATTAATATTTACTTGTATTATTTTACTTATATTCATTAATAAGAATATAGTAACTCTTCCCATCTCATTTAAACCATAGTATCTAACGGAATTTAGATGGACAGATAGGTATGTAGATGATTGATAGATAGATAGATAGATAGATAGATAGATAGATAGATAGATAGACAGATGGATGGATGAGTGGATAAATGGATAGATGGAAGATAAAACTGGGGTGGGGTGTAAAGGGTTAAATGTAAAGATCCCTTTTGGCAGAGGAATTGAAAGCCAAGTGAAAGAATCAGATGTGGTGAAAACTATTACCCCTTCCAGTAACTTGAAAATAAAAAAAAATAAGCCCTGGTTGGGTAGCTCAGTTGGTTGGAGAATCGGCCTGATATGCCAAGCTTGCAGGTTCGATCCCTGGTCAGGGCACATACAAGAATCAACCAATGAATGCATGCATAAGTGGAACAATAAATCGATGTTTCTCTCTCTTCTCCACTGCCTTCCTCTGTCTCTCAAATCAATAAATAAAAATTTTAAAAAAGAAAGAAAATAAGAAAAGTAAGCTACTTTCCTACAGTTAAACTGAAATAATTGTATCTCAAATCAGAGAAAAACAAAGTCTCCTAGAAGAAAGGCTCTTAAAATATCAAAACTGCCCTGGCCGGTTTGGCTCAGCGGTTAGAGCGTCGGCCTGTGGTCCGGAGAGACCCGGGTTCGGTTCCCGCTAAGGGCACGTACCTCGGTTGCAGTTTGTCCCCGGCCCTGGTTGGTCGTGCGGGTGGCAGCCACTCGATGTGTCCCTTTCACATTGATGTTTCCCTCTCTCTCTCTTCCTCTCTCTCCCTCCCACTCTATCTGTACAAAAAATGGAAAAATGTCCTCGGGTGAGGGTAAAAAATATATATATATATCAAAACTAAAAAAGTAAGAATATTGAGGTTATCTGCATTATATAAAGAAGAAAAGTAACAATTACATGTGAGAAGAGAGTTGGTCAGTGAAGAAATCCTAAAAATAAGAAAAAAATTAAAAGGATGAGAGCAAATTCTAGATGTGTTGGAAACGTGATTTCTATGGAGAGGTATGCTAAGTCCATCTAAACATGGGATTCACCTATCTTTTTCTCACCAAGGGAACTTCAGGATATGATTTGGCTTACCAGACAGATCTTCTTCGGAAAGAGTACCTTTTCCCTGTTCTGAAACCTTCAACGTCTCCAGTTCACATTTTTTAACTCAGGCATTTAATATTCTCCACAACAGAAGTGCATAAGAATCAATTAATTTTACGTTTAATTTACCACCCACTGTTCTACAAGAACCTAACCAAGCTGGTCTTTTCATTGTCCTTCAATACTCAAATAGGTATTACTACACAGCTTTTTTTTAGGCCTCCTCCTGTCCCCCATCCAAGCCTCAAGCTCCAAACTACCTCCTTCATAATGACTTTCTGAGGTGTGCCTGTTTTCTATCATCATGCCCACATCCAATCTTCTAATTCTCAAAAGCATCCTGTATCACCCATGTTACTTTGACATGTTTTCTTTTTTTTTTTTTAATCCTCACCCGAGGATATTTTTCCATTTTTTGTACAGATATAGTGGGAGGGAGAGAGAGGAAGGGAGAGAGAGAGAGAAACATCGACGTGAAGGGACACATCGAGTGGCTGCCACCCGCACGACCAACCAGGGCCAGGGACAAACTGCAACCGAAGTACGTGCTCTTAGCGGGAACCGAACCCGGGTCTCTCCGGACCGCAGGCTGACGCTCTAACCGCTGAGCCAAACAGGGCTGACATGTTTTCTTATTTCATTTGTTCCATCTTGCAAATGAAGCCATAGCTTTTCAAAGACAGGGAGCTGAAATTTAGAAATGTTATTCTTTTTTATATCCTCCAAAGCACCTACTCAAGTCTGAGAATAAATAGATGCTCTGGAGAATTAACTTTGTTTAGATAATGCCTAACCTACTCACACAACAAAAAACTACAGCTTCACACTTATATCACATCACTATAATTTACATAAAGTCCTTTTAATATATAGATTTGTGTGTGTGCATATGTATATAAATACATGTATGTATACAAACACATCTAAACACACGCATATATAAACACATAATACACATATACATACATGCATATACCTTGTATCTGTATCTGTATATGTAAACACATGTTTATAGTCTGTATTTTTCCAGTCACTTAGCTCTCTGCTACTGAAATGTTTTTTTTAGTTTTTACCTGGTTATGATGGGATCTGCAGCATGATTTGGGCCCCATCGCCCCAAAAGCCCACGGCCAACCAAGCCTGTCCGTCCCGCAGGATTTCTGGGGAAAAAACAAAATCAATTGAATGGGTTCATCTTTTTTAACCTAACTTGATATGGCCCAATAAAAGGTAGTAAGAGCACTAGGAAGAAAATAGCATCACCATCCACCCAAATCCAGTAGCACTATCACTATCTAGCACTGAGAGCACATATTGCCTTACACTGTTAAATTAACTTTTCTTTTGTGCATGTGTTAAGCTCTGGGCTTGATCCAGGAGCAGAATCACTTCCAAAGCTGTTCTACAATATAAGAATTTGTTTCAGTTTTCACCTATACTCCTACAATCTTACTGGAGTCTTCAGTCTTGGAGGGTAAAATGCTCTGTATCAATTTTCATCATTATGTATCAGTAAAATACCCCAATCTGCAATCTTTTTTTTTTTTTTTATCCTCACCCGAGGACATTTTTCCATTTTTTGTTCAGACAGAGTGGGAGCGAGAGAGAGGAAGAGAGAGAGAGAGAAACATCGATGTGAAGGGGACACATCGAGTGGCTGCCACCCGCACGACCAACCAGGGCTGGGGACAAACTGCAACCGAGGTACGTGCTCTTAGCGGGAACCGAACCCGGGTCTCTCAGGACCGCAGGCCGACGCTCCAACCGCTGCGCCAAACCGGCCAGGGCCCAATCTGCAATCTTAACCTATTTAACATTATATCTTTTATCCTCCTAGTATGTAAAAGCAAATAACTCGCCAAAAATTTTCTTTCAGCCATCTCTTCTTACTCTGGTCTTCTACGTTACTATTATTGAAGTTAAATGAATTTTTATATTGTTTTACACTAGACTTAGAAGTATTTCAGCAAGACCTGCAGATAAAGACAGAAAGATGAAACAAGACAACTGGCTAGGTGACAATAATTCTACTTTTGAAATTTACAGGAGTAGGGTCTGGGTGGCCAATAACTGTTTTATTCCATGTAACCATACACCTTTGAACACAAATGATCAAAGTCAATATTAAGAGAGAGAATGTTCGGTTTAGAGATGACTATGCCTATAACTTGTAAACTACAAATTTTGGAAAAGACATATAGACTATCCTATAGCCTGAGAAGCGGAGAAAGTTGTTTGCAGAGGAAAAACAAAGGCAACATATAAAGAAAAGCAGAGATGAGGCAGAGAGAAAGTCCTGATGGATTTCCAATTTCACCCTTTCTTAAAGTTAGCTGAAGTTCTGCTTTGGGCTCCTTGAGATGATCCTACAGCCTGGGGTAGAGATAAATCCCACTTTTTGCTTTAGGCAAGCTAGAACTGGTTTCTCTTAGTTCAAGAGTCTGGACTTAAGCAACATGCTATCTTGCCTTTGCTGCCTATCCTTTTATATGTGTACTTATCCTTCAATATATTTTACCAAGAAAGAACCTAACGAATAAGTCAAATACAAAGACAGTTTCACTTAAAAGATCCACTAACACAGAACGGCTAGTAAGTTATGACCAAAGAAAGAATTTAGCAAAACTAAAGGATCAGGTTACACTGACAGGAGCACTATCAATTTCCCTGTCCTAGAAGAACTAAGAATATAAACTACAATATCTTTATAAGGTGAGAATCATGATTGCAAATCTGTGAGCCTTCCTTTGTTTTATTTGAGGCATGCTAATTTTTACATTTCTTCTAAACTTTTATATCTTTTTAAGGAAAATGAAAATTTTTGGAGTTGTGTAGAAAAATCATTTTTAAAAGTACAGATTTTTAATACCACATCATTAGGTTATTTTTATCTTTACTCTTATGTTTGGATATTTGTTACTTTAAGGCATTATCACATTTAATAAATAACTACTTAACATACAATTTTCAATCCTTTGTTAATTTATTCAATTAATAATTTCTACCTTCAAGGTTCAGTTACAAAAAGATGCAAATCTTTTGTTCAGTTACTCAAATCCTACCTATGCTGCCCTGAACGGTTTGGCTCAGTGGTTGGAGCATCGGCCTGCAGACCAGAGAGTCCCGGGTTTGATTCCCACTAGGGGCACGTACAAAAAAAAAAAAAATCCTGCCTATGCCACTTACAAACTATATGTAAATTGCTTACGTTCTCTCTCTTTATCTATAAATGGAAAAATGGAACTAGAAATATGCACCCACAGAGAAATTGTGACAATTTAATTAGATCACATATATAAATTCTTCCATATTATGTCTGGCACATGCAAGCACTTGATAAATGTTAATTATATTTTCTACCTTTTGAAGACCCATTATTGTAAAATGTTCGATTCCCAGTACCTACCTAGGTCTTCCATTTTCAATCTCATACCGACCATTCTGGCTCTTTCTCTCAACATGCCCATCTTTTTCATTAAACTTGGGAGAAAAGTTACTTTCACTGTAATGAGAATGCCAACATAAAATAAGAAATAATGGTCCAATACTACCAACAACTTAATAATGTCAATGTGTTATTAATAAGAAGCTGTATCCCTGAAACTAAAATTTTTAAAGCTTAGTTTTCATTTGCAAATCCATCTTCCTCCTTCAAAACAATTTCTGATGGGAAAAAATCAGTTAACCAAAAACCTTATAATACAAGGATATGTATCATAATCCCTCTTGGAAAGACTAATGGTAGAAGAACTGGACTTCCTCCCATGCTACAAGAAGTCTATATTACTATTAGCAAGAAGGAATTGTCTGTGGGGAAATTATGGCAATCACTGGTTCCTATACAGTTCCAAAAATAAGATTTCTTCTTATATCTTGATACTTTTACTGTCTCAAAGTAATTTTAATTGCTTCAAATGTAAACTGATTATAATTTTTATCAACGTAAACCCACAAAACAGTGAATTCACCCCACAAACTTCATAATAAATGTAATGTAAATTAAAATAGATAATGCTGAAAATGTTCTAGATCTTAATCTGAATATTAGTTACAGAGCTATATAAACATAAAATTTTACTGAGCTACACTTGCACACGTAATAAATGTGCATTTATGTCAGACCTCAATAAAAATATTTTTAAAACAGATATATGTAAACTACTTTCCTTGCCATTATGAAATCACTGACCTAACTGCACTGTCAGTGAATAAAGAGATGTATAGCACTGGATAGCTCCTGGACAATTCTGACACAAGTTTTGCTTTTTCCTTGCTTCAATTCCAGTAAGGGAACATAGACATATTTGTGCTCTGTTTGGGAAATAATTTCCCATTTGAATAATCCATACATTCTCTCAAAAATTCTAACCAATCTTCCATCTGACACACAAATAAAAATAATTAAATGGTTGAAATTATAAAATGATAAAACCAGAATTATAGTCCTCGTGGGACTCCAGAAATTTACCCTTAAAATAAAAAAGCATGAACTTAATTATAATTAAAGCATTAATGTTAGTAATAAAGCTTGATTTAGATGGTGATATATATTCAACTGTTAAAAAATTGAATGAAAAATAAGAAAATGTATTCAATCTTCCTCTATTTATACTATATAGCACCCATGCCAATGTCATTAATTTTCATTGTGTATAATGTGTATTTATAATGCACATATAAATATGTATATCCTCTAAAATGGGGGAAATGGAACTTATTTAAAACTAATAAATTCTCCACAGGTTAGCTTCATGATTAATTCACAGACCAAGTACTATCACAAAGCTAGAAACACATCTTCAGATAAAATAAAGGAAATGGGAGTCAAAATCAAATATCAGCAGTAAGTCCATGGTAAAGTTTAACAACCTAATGAACTAATACTAGATCTATCCAAATAGCAAAATTTTTTACTTAATTGACTAAATAATGCCTTAAGAGGACTATGATTTACAATAAATTTGCCCATTAAATCAATTTTAGAAAAGGGTTCTAAAACTAGGCAGTTTAGCAGAGTAGTTTAAAGAGCTTAAATTCTGAAGTCAGACTGAGTTCAAGTCCAAGCTATACCAGCTACTAGCTCTGTGACCATATGCAAAGGACACTTACAATGCTTCCATTTATTGTGTATGTTTTGTTTTTCTATAAAGTAGAAGTAAAACTGTTTGCCTTTCAGAATACTTATAATAAAATAAAATAATGCTTATAAAACATTTAGTACAATGCCTAGCTTATAGGTAGCACATTTAAAAAACCTATCATTGTATTTATTAAAAGGATCCTAAATATAAAATGCGAATCAATGTAGCATTTCAATGACTTTAGTCACAGCATTATTTGCTTGATTTTTTTTTTTTTTGCTTTCCTTGTTCTCTCTCTCCTTTATTGATCCTTTTTCTATTTTTTGCACTAATTTTATCATCACCCTGTTCTTAGTCATTTGGAAAGTATTTCTGAAAAATATTGTCACTATTTCAAATACAAGTCTAGCTAGTTCCAACCATACATAGAACTAGCTATGTTCTATTGATAACCTAGTCAAAACAAATGAAAACAAGTACCACTTGTCATTTCATAAAACAAAGTACTCAGTAGCAAATCAGATACACCCATTTAGAATGGTCATCATAAAACCCCCCCAAAAAATAAATGAACACGGACAATCTATCTAGCTTTGGCAAGAATTCAAGCAAATGTGTACACTAAGTTATAACAAAATCAAACACTAAATAAAAATAGATCAGCTGTCAAAGTAATAACTTACAAATACAACCATTACTTTCTCTGAAAGTCTTACACTCAGCTAATTCGCTCACCTGATCTGAGGATCTGCCCACCTAGGTCCAGCCAAGACAGAGACTGCAGTGTATTCCACAGGATTATAGTCCTGCCACTCAACAAGCCAGCCTACTTTCTCATTAGGAACCTGGCTGCGTTGAACTTTTGAACCTGGGTAAGGAGATGTCCGAGCCTTGTTGTGGGAATTCTCTTTACCACCATTAGAACCAGACATGATGCTGTGGTTAAGATGAAACCCACAGGATGAAAATGAGATTCTGGGAGGGGAAAAAAAGAAAATATTTTAAATAAATACCAAAAAAATAAAGAACCTAATTCAAAGACCCAAAAACATACTTTTCAATTTCAAAGACTTAAATTTCAGAAAATTCACCCTGGCCTGTTTGGCTCAGCAGTTAGAGCATCAGCCTGCGGTCCAGAGAGGCCCGGGTTCGGTTCCTGCTAAGGGCATGTACCTTGGTTGCAGTTTTTTCCCGGCCCTGGTTGGGTCGTGCAGGTGGCAATCACTCAATGTGTCCCTTTCACGTCGATGTTTCTCTCTCTCCCTCCCACTCTATCTGAACAAAATATCGAAAAAATGTCGAGTGAGGATAAAAAAAAAAATTTTTTTAGAAAATTCAAATTTGATGCACTATTAGTATAAAGGTCCAACATCTGGGAAAGATTATTTTCAAGTATGAAAATTGGAAAATATTGCTAAACCTTATTAATTGGAACCTACACTGAATTTACTTTGAGAAAGAAGGACAGTTTACTTTTATTAGCACAAAAGTTGGGGAAGGGCCCTGGCTGGTGTGGCTTAATGGTTAGAGCATCAGCCCACAGACCAAAGGGTCTTGGTTTCAATTCCCAATCAGGGAATACACCCAGGTTACAGATTCGATCTCTGGTCAGGATGAGCACAAGAAGCAACTGACAGCTGTTTCTTTCTCACAGCAATGTTTCTCTCTCGCGCTCACTCTCCCTCTCCCTCTCCCTTCCTCTTTCTCTAAAATCAACAAAAACATATCACTGGGTGAGAATTATAAAAATATTAAAATTCTTGCCCAGTCAGTATGGCTCAGTGGACTGAGCATATTCCCATGAACTGAAAGGTCCTGGTTCGATTCGTCAGGGGACATGCCAGGTTGGTATACTTTTCATGGTATCACTGCAACTGTGATTTTATATTTATTAGAGTGCCACCTGATTTTAAGCAAATGGAGAACAAGAAGCATGTCTGCTGTAGCTCAACATAATATGCTGTGGCATAGGATACAGGAGGTCCTTTCCTGAAATTAACAGGAAGAGGCCACATAAGTAGAGAGCAAATTTTGTTTTAATTAGTGAAAAGGAGTTTGATTAAGGTTTCATCTTTAAAAATAAATTTTTAAATTATAAAAATAAATTTTACATTAAATAAGCTAGGTTATGACCAACTCTATATACAAAGTTGTAGAACAAAGAAATAATAAAATATTTTGTTTTCAACAAACTCATATAAGTAACTTCATAATATAGCAAATTTCATTTGTTTTACCTTCATAAATCATAGGAGATAATTTTGGCCAAAATATTAGAAGCTTCATCAAAATTTTCCTAAGACCTCCCTTAATCCTTTGATATTCAAATCATTCTTTCTTTTATTTTTTTTTTATTTTTTTTTTTTTAATCCTCATCCGAGGACATTTTTCACAGACAGAGTGGGAGGGAGAGAGAGGAAGAGAGAGAGAGGGAAACATCGATGTGAAAGGGACACATCGAGTGGCTGCCACCCGCACGACCAGCCAGGGCCGGGGACAAACTGCAACCGAAGTACATGCCCTTAGCGGGAACCGAACCCGGGTCTCTCCGGACCGCAGGCCGACGCTCTAACCGCTGAGCCAAACCGGCCAGGGCCAAATCATTCTTTCTTGAAACACTATCCTTTCTGGGCCTTGTCAACTTTTTTTTTAACATGAGCAATAGTATTTTATTTTCCATGTACCTGTCTCTGTGAATTAAAGTAGCCAAGTTTCCTTGGCTAAAAAAAAGTTTCCCCCTTTTTTATCCTCAGCCGAGGACGTTTTTTCATTTTTTTGTTTAGATAGAGTGGGAGGGAGAGAGAGAAAGAAAGAAAGAGAGAAACATCTACATGAAAGGGACACATCAAGTGGCCGTCACCCACATGACCCAACCAGGGCCAGGGACAAACTGCAACCGAGGTATGTGCCCTTAGCAGGAACTGAACCCGGGTTTCTCTGGACCGCAGGCCGATGCTCTAACCACTGAGCCAAACTGGCCAGGGCTGCCCCCCTTTTTTTAATAGACTTTATTTTTTAGAGCAGATGTCAGATTTTATTTTATTATTTTTTCTTTTTTACATTTAGAACAGATGTAAGTTCACAGCAAAACTGAGTGGAAAGTAGAGCTCCTATGTAGACTCACTCCCATCCCCCAACACACACAGAGCCTTCCCCACTATCAATGTGCCCCACCAGAGGGGCACATTTGTTTCAATAGATACACCTACATTCACATCATTATCACCCAAAGTCCAGAATTTATATTAGGCTTTATTCTTGGTGTGGATGCATTCTACTGGTTTAGACAAATGTATAATATGTATCAGCCATTACACTATCAAATAGAGTAGTTTCACAGCCCTAAAACATCATCTGAGCTTTACAATTTCATTTCTACCTGCCCTCCCCACAATCCCTGGCAGTCACTAGTATTTTTACTGTTTTCATTTTGTCTTTTCCAGAACGTCATGCAGTTGAAAACATAAGTATGTAGTCTTTTCAGATTGGTTACTTTCACTTAGTGATATGCACCTGTCTCCTCCATGTCTTTTCATGGCTTAAGAGCTCATTTCTTTCTGAGAGCTGAGCAATATTCCATTGTCCAGGTGTACCAGTTTATTTATCCATTAACCTACTGAGGGACATCTTGGTTGCTTCCAAATTCCAGCAATTATCATTAAAGCAACTATAAACATCAGTGTTCAAGGTTTTATGACAACATTAAGTTTTCAATTCATTTGGGTAAATACCAAAGAGAGAGATTGCTGGATCATATAAGTTCTATGAGAAACTACCAAACTGTCTTTTCTTCTTCATTATTTTAAATACGTTTTTATTGATTGTTTTAGAGACAGAGGAAGGGAGAGATGGAAACATCAGTGTGAGAGAGAAACACTGACTGGCTGCCTCCTGCACGTCCCCTGTTGGTGATCCAGCAGGAAACCCAATCATGTGCCCTGACCAGGAATTAAACCAGGACCACTCAGTTCATTCAATCCACTGAGCCACACTGGTCGGGCTATCTTTCCTTCTTTCATTCTTAATTGGTTTAATTCTTTCCTATTCGTGTGTCTATACCTTTATGTGCAATTCAAGCTGCTCCCTCTAATCCTATTTAAAGACTGAAACAACTGCTATTTCATTTTGCACGCAGTTTGCATCTGTATTGTCAAACACCCAATAGTCAGGGAAAGCCTGACCCACAAAAAGTTAATAACCCCTGAGGGGCTCTTCAAAGTGTAAGGTGAAAGGATGGTATTTGACATGAAAATAATTTCATTAAAAATGGTAGATTCGTTATTTTCATGTTATGATGATTTTTGCTTGCCTAAGTTGCTGTAGCTTTGGAAATCCAAATAATGAACATTCAAAATGAGATCTTCATCACACACCCTAAATCCATACTCAATAAAAATGAACATATATGCAATATATATATATGTAAATAGATTTCATATGTATTTTCAGAAAGGCAAAATTTTACATATTGGGCCCTAGTCTCTAACTCAATTCTATTACAAAATTAGTTATTCTTCATGGTTTAGGAGTAGGGTAAGAAAAAAAGTCAAAGATATTAATGAGATGCCCAATAGAAAACACATCTTATTCCACTCTATCCCAACCAAGTACCAAAAGTGTTTTCTAAGTATGAGGCTCTTTGTGCCCTGGTTTAGCAATAAGCATGTGCAATTCCACAAATCTGCTACCACTCTGACAAGATAAACTTACAAACCTGATCATTTACTTTTCAAAAAAATATTTAATTTTGCAAGAAAAAGAGCAAAAATTCAAAAACTATTTATCTTACCATATTAAGTACTTACATATATATACTGCTGTTTTTATCTGCTGTTCAAATGTGATACACTGAAAGGGATCAGAACAAGAATATATATACTGTACACATATTCAGTCTAGGTTCTTTTATTGGATTACTGAATAGGTACAAAAAATATTTGACCAAGCAAATGGGAATAAATAGCTTTTAAAGTTCATTTTACAAAGCAAAAATCAGTTCCTAAAACAGGAACTATGTGTTTTCCCATGGTCTTAGGCAACCCTTGTGAAAGGGTCATTCGACCCCCAAAGAGGTCGCAACCCACAGGTTGAGAACCACTGATCTAGGGTTTCCAGAATTATAAAAATGAAGAATAACTGCCAAGCAACTTTACATTGTTCTAGTGGCATCATGCTATCAAAAATAGCATTAGAGCCCTGACCAGTTTGGCTAAGCGGTTGAGCGTCAGCCTGCGGACCAGAGAGTCCCGGGTTCGGTTCCCGCTAGGGGCACGTACCATAAAAAAAATAGCATTAGTGACTTCCAGAGAGCACAGATATTAAATTCTTCCTTCCTCAAAGCCAAAGAGATAGATGTATAAAAGGCAACACTGTCCACAGCAAGAGAGAGAATAGGACACCACCAGTAAATGAGAGATTTAAATCAAATTCAGAAAGATTTTAAGTAGGTGGAATCATATTGACCTACAAACCAAAGTAGAGCAAATTATATTTGAGAATATGCACAAAAGTTCGAGGAAGGTATCCCATTCCTACAAGAGGACCCTGAGAGTTTTCAAGATTGAAATAAGTGGACCCAAATGTCCTAAGTGGACAGTGGGACAGTAACCATGGAAATCAGTCCTCCTCTCTACCCACCCTTCAAACAAAAAATCAGCAACAATTAGGTTTGCCCTCCCCTCGGGATAAAAACAAAAGTTGAGAAAAATGAAGAACTAGGTCTTTTATTGTGAATATTGGTGTTAGAGAACACAGTAGAAACTTAGGTTTCATATCTCTACAGTTCACATTGAGAAATAAAGTTAAGGCATCTATGCTCAGCAAAGAAGTTGCTCCACTAGTGTACAGACTAAGGGAAAAGGTAAGAGGGAGGTTCCCAGCCTGTCCACCAGCTACCTGCTCACACACACACTCAACTGAAACCTTCCAGTCTAGGAACACTTGTACATGGTGCCAATATTCAATCAGTCCTTCCATTTAGAAAAAACAATATTTATTATGTACATTAATAAAACTATAAATGGATAACCAGTGTCCACCAGATGTTTGAGAAAAAAACAGAAGAAAAAGAACCAAAATGTAACAGAACCACTTACCCAAAACAGACAGATAATTCAGGAAATAGAAGGTAATTTTTTATTCTAATTATCATTTTTATAGATTCAAAACTTTTGTGTCCATAACATAAGAAAAGGCTTCCATTAAACAGAGCAATTAGAGAAAGAAAAGGTTCTTGTCAAAGTTTACAATTCCATAGAGGGGACGGCTAACAATGCAAAGGTCTTAAGTTTGAATGAGTAAATTCAGTAGGCACCGTGTGATTCCTGAACAATGGACTCGAAGAATAAAAACCTGAAAAGAGGAAAATTAAAGTAGGAAGCAGTGTGAGACACAATAAATCCCTAAATTCATCCAGAGTTGGCAAATCAAGAAAAAGAGGTCAATAGTAAATACATTACCTACACTGAGGTTCAGAGGAAGAATGGCAACTTACACTTTCCATTTTACACCATTTACTGTCCACATGTTAAAACTATGTGCATGTATTAATTTTAATGATAATATTTTAAGTATTAACCAGAAGAAAATAGCATGGGACACCACCACACCCAAACAAGTGCTATTAAAACTCTCTGGGGACAGTAATATTGGTGACTTACTAAGGATGGCACTAGTTTTCTTCAAAAGGGCAGATAAAAACAGTCTGAGCCTTTTTGAAAGCTTGTACCCCTATGGCTATAAAAACCCGGGACGCAAGCAAAGCCTACAGAATCCGCCGGACCGGAAGCTGGTTCCCACCCGAAACCTAAGGACCAGGGAGGAGCCAGCACCAGGAGGGGGAATACCTGGACTCCCGGACGCAGAGAAAGCCCGAGGACTTGACAGCCACAGTGGCCAAGGCCACAGAGAGAGACACCGTGACTAAAGTCTTCCCCAAGATGCGTCCGGCCATCAGCGCCCCGCGGACGGCTTCATGCAGCGAGGTCGCTCTTAGTTGGGCCGCAGCCTCCGCCCTCCCCAGTCCCGGGCCCCAGGGACCTAGCGGGCACTAGGACCCGGCCGCCCTCCGGTCCCGGTGAGGGAGTAGCTAGATCTAGTCTCATAAACACGCAGAGGCCAGGCGCCCTCCCAAAATCACAGCCCAGCGCTTCCCCCCAGTGCGATGAAGGTAGTCAGATCCGCCAGGGACGCCGAAGCTCCCAGCCTCAGCTGCCGGCGGAACAGCGACCCGGCCCCGTGACCCCCCAGTGCGTGGCGGCGCTTTACGGCTGCGCTGCAAAGCGAAGACCGTAAGGCCTTGGGGGCGGGTGCCTTCTCCGGCTCCGGTCTGCGCAGGCGTTGTTGGGGCGCGGTGAGGGTAACAGCCCGGGTGAGAGACAAGCGGGAACTGGAAGGGGGGGCGAACGAAAAAGACAGGGAGGGGTTTAGAGAAGCTTGTCCTGTTTTCGGCAGGAAGGGGTACAACCAGCTGCTGGGCTGAACCACGCAGGTGCTAGTCATAGCCGAATAAGTGGTTACAGGAAAAGGAAGAAGGCAAGAGACCCAGTAAGCGGAGCTGAGGTTTTTACCAAGTGGTTCGCTGCAGTAGCTACTGTCACCACGCTTTGCTGGGGGTGAGCCGGACAGACCGGTGGAGGCGTAAACCAGCGGTCAAATAGGCACACAGCTTAGGGCGGCAACGTAAGGGCAACACTCCGAAGGAACTCGAGGCATAAGTTACACAAACCGCCCTGGCGGGTGAGGCTGTTGGTTGGAGCGTCCTCCCCTGCACCGGCGGTCGCGGGTTCCATGGGGGCAGGGCGCTTACCTCGGTTACGGTTGCATCCCAGGTGGGGGCGCCAAGGAAGGCAACCAATCCCTTCCCCTCCCTTCCTCCCTCCAAAATCAGCTTTAAAAGATTCCCTTCAAAAAAAAAAAAAAACTAGATAAACTGCCAAACTGGAATTTGCAACAATTTATAACCAGGACTTTATCTTTTATCTCATTAGTGTGGCAAATATTTAACTTTTAAGTACATAATGCGATGTTATAGTGGTGTGTTGTAGATAGACATTTTAAGACTTCAGCTTTTTTAAAAGCCAGATGAATCACTTTAAGGAGTACAGCTCTGAAGACTGCAGAACTCTTGTATGACGACTCCATCCAAACTACTGCGCGAGGAGACTTGACCAAACTCTACCAGGCTTCTAGCAGTTTAAGGGTTGTGCCTAGGATGATTCCAGTGGCCCCACCTCCCCCACCCCAGCATAAAATGCCTGCCTAGAAAAACTCTAGACTACCAGGAGAATTTGTTTATTCCAGGCCAAACCTAGTGATGGGCAGAGAGGCCCAGGACCCCTTTATTTCGAAAGCTTGCTATTTTAAATCCTTTCTCTACCCTTTGTGATGTAAATCTACCACCTAGAGCTGTTTCCTCCAAGACCTGAGAGCCCCTTTGAAATGCAAACATTCAGGGAGAAATCTCTGTGTCACCTCCCAGTCCCTGTGGAAGGATAAGGGCCTAACTTCAATCGGCAGCTACTGCCTCCTGCCATAAAGATAAAAATTTGGGTGGGGCTGAGAGGGTCACTGAAAACAATAGTGCTGCTGGCAAGCGCATCTCCCGGATTCTTGAAAAACAGTGATTTCTTGCAGCTGTTACAAAATAAATACGTGCGTCGGTGGGGCAAAAAAAAAGATAGAAATATGTTTCTCCTCCTGCCCCTGCCGGTTTGGCTCAGCGGTTAGAGCATTGGCCTGCGGGCCAGAGAGACCCGGGTTCAGTTTCCGCTAAGGGAGCGTACCTCGGTTGCAGTTTGTCCCTGGCCCTGGTTGGCCCTATGGGTGGCAGCCACTCGATGTGTCCCTGTCACGTGGATGTTTCTCTCTCTCTCTCTCTCTCTCTCTCTCAACCTCAACAAAAAATGGGGGGGGGGAAATGTCCCCTGGTGAGAATAAAATAAATAAGTAAATGTTTCTCCTCCTATAAGAACCAATAAACCCAAATGGTCTTGTCACATGCATCATCCACCCACCGCCTTAACACCCCTCAACACCCCTCAGTGCCTTTCCCTTAGCACACTCCGCCCTGGCCGGTTTGGTTCAGCGGTTAGAGTATGGGCCTGTGGTCAAGAGACACCTGGGTTTCTGAAAGGGGCCCATACCTTCCGTTACAGTTTGTCCCTGGCCCTGGTTGGGCCCTGCCGGAGGCAGCCACTCAATGTGTCCCTTTCACATCGATGTTTCTTCCTCTCTCTCCTTCCCACTCTATCTGAACAAAAAATGGAAAAATGTCCTCGGGTGAGGATAAAAAAAGAAAATGTCTATACTCCACCCTTTAGAATGTCTCCAGCCTTTTGTTACAGGGAAGTTGAATTCAATGCAGTAGTATTACTAAATAAAATGTGTTTGTACAGCCTTATCTTTGACAGTCCTTTTGGGTAGTGAGTATTATTATTAAAGTGTACTTGATTTTTGTTTTAAATATCTGGATTTGGCTTCCTCTGATCAGATAAAGTTTGTTCTCAGTGTTGTCATCAGCCATCAATTCCTGCTTAAAATGGAAATGTATTAGGCAGGTTCTGTTTAAAAGGTTCAGCCCATTTTAAAGTCTGCTGACAAATTAGTCATTAGGGACAAAAGGAGTATGGCAGTGAGACACAAAACCTCTGATCAAAGAATGGGAAAAACAGGAGTTTTCTTGGGAAGTTCTTTGAGCCTTAGTCTTCTAATTCTGCATTCCTTGAGACAGGTTGGAGTGGAGTTAAAGATCTACACAGCTGTGCAAACAAAACCGACTCCATGGCACTGGGACTACACCACTATTGGTTCTGATTCCTCCCCTCATGGACTGTACTCCCAGGTCTGCTAGAACTTACCCAGTGGGTAATGTGCTGCAGTCCACACGGGCAGAACCAAAATGCCATCTCAAATATTTACTGTTTTATATAATTGTCCGTTTACCCACATCCCAAATTAAATGAGTATCATCAGAACTTAAGGGCTTTTGTTTTTTATTTATTTATTTTTTTTTACTTAATAAGCACACGCCAACTTTAAGGGCATCTTTTAATAGTTGATGATGCCAGTAAAAAATGCTGAGAAATAAATATTTTTTTGTTTTTTGTTTTTGTTTTATTTTCATCCTCACCTGAGGACATTTTTCCATTTTTTGTACAGATAGAGTGGGAGGGAGAGAGAGACAGAGAGAGAAACATCGACGTGAAAGGAACACATCGAGTGGCTGCCACCCGCACGACCAACCAGGGCCGGGGACAAACTGCAACCGAGGTACATGCCCTTAGCGGGAACCGAACCCAGGTCTCTCCGGACCGCAGGCCAACGCTCTAACCGCTGAGCCAAACCGGCCAGGGCAGAAATAAATATTTTTAAATAGGAAAGCAGTGTATGTGATTACTAGAATTGATAGGTATACTAAAAATAAGAGTAACTACGAATTCCAGCCATTTCCCCCCCTTTTTCCATTTACTTTATTATACAAGTATTTACTGATTACTTACTATTTACCAAGCACTACCCTAGGTGCCAGGAATGCAGTTGTGAACAAGATGGACACGGTCCTGTTCCCATGAAGCTTACTTTGTAGAGGAGGTACATCAACTATAAATAAATATACTAGGAATTGCAGGTTAGGAGAAGTGCTATGAAAGAAACAGACAACTTAATGTGGAAAAGAATAACTGAAGCAGGAGTGACTATTTTGGATTATAAAGGAGGGGTGTCAGAGAAGGCTTTTCTGAGGAGGTCACATTTGAGAGATACCTAAAGACATGAAGCTGCCAGCCACTGGAAAAGCTGAGAGAGAGCATTCCAGACAGAGAGGACTATACATGCAAAATCTCTGAGGTAGGAACGAGCATGGCCACACCACAATCAAGGAATGGGAAGGTCAATGTACTCGAGCATAGTAGAGAGCTGAGGGAATCATGATCTTCAATGAAGCATGGCAGACATGACTCACTGCTTCCCGATACCCATGTACCCATTCTCCCTCCTCCTTTGTCATATGTAGAAATGTGTCCAGTTAAAAATTGATCTCCCTGTGCTCCCTGCAGCTAAAAGGGCCATATGACCCTTACTGTCCATCCTGAGATGAAAGTTGAAGCCTACTGTGTGGGTCTCCTGGTGAAAAGAGACTAGATCATTTGGCAGAGACTATTAACCTTTTGCCATCCCCCACCCCCCTCCTTTATTACTGTTTGAAATGAGGGCACAATTCCTAGAGAAGGAGCAGCCATATTGAGACCATAAAGACAAAAACCACACATATGGATGGCAGAATAGAGTGTAAGAGGGAGCCTGAGTCTTACATGACTTCCTCAAGTACTTGTATCAGTCCTGGATAGCCTGCTTCTGGACTATTGGTGGGGGAGGGTGTCCCCTATTTAACTAAACTACTGTGGTTGGGTCTATTTTATGTAAAAATCTCAACACAAGAGCCAAAACGTATACAGCCGTCCCTCGTTTATCATGGTTAATCCATTCCAGACTCTAGCGGTTGAACCTGGTGTTGAAGGATTCCTGGGGTGCTTGAATACATAGGCCTACAGTCCATACGTACAGTAATTGCAATTGTAATTGTTTTTTATTTATTTATTTTTATTTTTTTTTATCCTCACCCGAGGACATTTTTCCATTTTTTGTACAGATAGAGTGGGAGGGAGAGAGAGGAAGAGACAGAGAGAGAGAAACATCAATGTGAAAGGGACACATCGAGTGGCTGCCACCGCACGACCAACCAGGGCCAGGGACAAACTGCAACCAAGTACGTGCCCTTAGCGGGAACCGAACCCTGGTCTCTCCGGACCGCAGACCGATGCTCTAACCGCTGAGCCAAACCGGCCAGGGCTGTAATTGTAATTGTATTACAGGGGTGTATAATTGACTCAGACAACTGAGCGCACGCTGCACCATTTTCACTGTCTCGATCAACTTTTTAAAGAACATATTTGAAAAAACCGTGATACAGTGAAGCCACGAAAGTCGAAGTGCAAAGTGGCAAGGGACAACTGCAAGGTCTTCTAGGAATTAGGAGTTGATCCCATGTGCAGTGAAAAGCCATGAATACTCCACCAACTTTATTTCTCACAACAGAGAGGTAGACATTCTAAAAGTTAGAACTGGATCACTTCTTGGCCTTTTGGCTAAGATAAAGTACAGTTTCTGTTCTTATCAGCTCAGTATCTGATATGTCCTCTATCCAAGGGCATTATATTAAATTTATTTTTGGAAGAGGGAGATGGAATAGGAGCTTGCTCCATCCACTCCACACATCGACCTCATATTGCAGTACCTCCGGGAACAGTGCAGAACATAAATAAATAAATAAATAAATAAATAAATAAATAAATAAATAAATAAATAAATAAATGTTAAAATTGGATAAACAGCAACAACAGAGCAGGGGTTGGGATGGAAAGTCAGGATGACTAGAGTCTGAAGACTCCCCTTCACTACTGTCATCTCTCTTTTCTTTTCCCTAATACTCTGGGTCAGAAGTAACCAGCTTTCTTTCTGTTCCATTATGGCAAGGCTTTTGTTGATATCTTTTGTGTTCTTTCAATCATAGGAGACTTCATACCCACCAGTTCTGTTTCTTAATAAGCTAATGCATGTGGAGAAAAATTAAAAACCCTGTTTCACTTGACAAAGCCTAGTTTGCAAGATTAATCCTGTGCTAGAGATTCAGAATTCCCATTTGACAGTCACCTCTTTGTTCTAATTCATATCTATTCTTACTCCTGAAACACTGAAACCATTATGTCAATGGATGGGGTGTCCCAGGGCAATAAGATACACAGAATATAAAAAACACATCTAAAAATGTTTTCAAAGTATTATTCTCATAGTATTTTTTACTTTGACCATGTAATTTGAGAAAATTATATAACTTCCCTATGCCTGTTTATTCGAATAAGGAAGTCAAATAAAAATGAGGATGTGGCCCTGGCCAGTTTGGCTCAGCTGTTGAGCTTCGGCCTGTGGACCAGAGAATCCAGGTTCAGTTCCCGCTAGCGGCACGTACCACCAAAAAAAAAAAATGAGGATGTGGGATACTCAACATCATAGGGCTATGAGAATTAAAGAAGATAACTTTTGTTAAATGTCTAAAAAAAGTAATAATTATTCTTTTTTTTTTAATTAATTTACTTTTGTTACAGATGTTTCTCTTTTTTCTCCCCAGACACCCTCCTCCCTATTTCAGCCCCCACCCCCACCCGGCAAGCATTGTTGTCTATGTCCATTGGTTACACATACATGCATGTAAATTCTTTGGTTTATCTCATCCCTTTATCCCCCCACATACATATTACCACATTTAATCCCAACAATTGTCCCTACTTCAGAGATGAGGATACAGACCCCAGAAAGTTAAATAACTTGCCCAACGTCACACAGCGTTTCTAATAATTTGTAAAGTCAGGTTTATGCATTTCCCAGGGCTGCTGTAACAAATGATCACAAACTTAGTAGTATAAACAATAGAAATGTATCTCTCACAGTTCTGGAGACCAGAAGTTTTAATTCAGTTTCTGTCATCAGAAGCATACTCCTTCTGGAGGCTCTTGAGAATAATTCTTTCCTTGCCTCTTTCAGTTTCTGGGGGCTGCTGGTATACCATGGCTCGTGGCCACGTACTTTACAGCACTCCAGATGGTCATACTGCCTTCCCCTCTTCTGTTTGTATCAATTCTGTCTCTGACTCTCTCTTATAAGGATACTTTTGATTTCATTTAGCTATTACCTGTATAATCTAGGATAATCTCACTATCTCAGGACCTTATTAGATCTGCAAAGACCCCCTTCCACATTAGGTAATATTTATAGGTTCCAGGGTTTAGGACCTGATTTTCTTTGGGGTTATTCAACCTACTACACCAGGACTCAAATTTAGGTCTGACTATAAACTCAAATTCTTAACCATGCATTTGTTCAATAAATATTGGTAAATATTTACCAATAAATATTACACCTGATATGTATTAAGTATTGTGGCTGGTATGGCAGATACAATCATGAGCAAAACCAATCAAGAGCACTGCCCTCGTGAATCTACAACCTAGCTGGGGAGAAAGACATTCTCCCCAAATAATCACACAAATAAATGTCAAGTTACAACTGTGATCAGTGCTATGAAGGGATGCTCCTGGTGCTCCGAGAACTATGATAGGGAGATTCGGTAAAATTTGGGAAAGCTCCACTTAAGAAGTAATACTTGAGAGCCCCAGCTGGATAGCTCAGTTGGTTACAGCACCAAGGTTGAGGGTTCAATCTCCAGTCAAAGCACGTACAAGAAGAACCAATGAGCCCTGGCCAGTTTGGCTCAGCGGTTACAGCGTCGGCCTGCAGTCCGGAGAGACCCGGGTTCAGTTCCCGCTAAGGGCACGTACTTCGGTTGCAGTTTGTCCCCGGCCCTGGTTGGTTGTGCGGGTGGCAGCCACTCGATGTGTCCCTTCACGTCAATGTTTCTCTCTCTCTCTCTCCCTCCCACTCTATCTGTACAAAAAATGGAAAAAGATCCTCAGGTGAGGATAAAAAAAAAAAAAAAGAAGAACCAATGAATGTATAAATAAGTACAACAACAAATCAATGTCTCTCTCTCTCTCTCTCTCCCCCTCCCTCCCTCTTTACCTCCTTCTCTCTCTCTCTAAAATAGATAAATGAATAAAAAATGTTTAAAGTAATACTTGAGATCTGAAGGAAGGAAAAGAGTCAATACATAAAATGGAGAAAAATATAAAAACCCTTATGCAGTCCTTCTAGCAGAACATCTGGCACATATAAGTGCTCTGTAAATCAAGTTCTCTCTTTCCTACCCCCTCCCTTCCTTAGGGAATCTACTAGTACCACTACAGGGCTATTCAAAGAGGAATAGAACTACTACAGGTTTCCCTAAGTCTTCCCAACCCACTCTTTATGCAATAGTCCATGCAATAATGTTCCTCACAAGTTATAGTTCATCTGTAGCTGAATAATAAATCTATCCGTAACATAGCTTGCATCAGCAAGGTAGGAACCAAGAATCAAACATAGTCTATTGTACAGAGAGCCAAGCATGCTCTCAACACAATCAGTGTCACCAGACAGGACTGTACATGATTGGAACATTCAAACAGCCCACAGGACTCAGCCAGTGTGGCTCAGTGGATTGAGCATCATCCCATGGACTGAGAGGTCCCGGTTTGATTCTCAGTCAGGGCACATGTCCAGGTTGCAGCCTTGATCTCCAGTAGGGAGTGTTGAGGAGGCAGCTAGCTGATGGATGTTTCTCTCCTGTCAATGTTTCTCTCTCTCCCTTCTTCTCGCTCTAAAAAAATCAATAAAAACACACTTTTTTTAAAAAAGGCCAAAGGAAAAACCAGCATATAGTAGAATATTTATAGAAAAGAAGTCCTTCATGACTCAGGGTTTTTAATTAGGCAAGAAGGTTGTTCAAGGACAATCTTTGCAAATGTTACTATGTGTTACAGGAAAGAGATTTCAAATAATGTTCTTTTATAGTTGAAAATAAGTGTCTTCCAAAGCTTTCACTGCTATTCTGTTAGAGTTGTTAGGTGGAAGAAACCAAGTTAACTCATTTAAAAGCTAGTTTAAGAACAAAACACATTTTATTTCCACATTTTAAGTCAGTAATTTTTTTTCCTTTTGGGTGAGTTCAATAGGTTGCATAAATAACCTCTCATTAATATTTATTGCTAGAGCAAGAACTTAGAAACATGAGTTTGCAGCAAACCAAAACTATTGCATACAGTAGCAATGCTGCAAGGAGGGCTATAAGAGCTACCTGGACATAGCTCCATAATTATCCCTGTCTTCACCTTCCTTTTCTTCTATCTATTGGAGCGTATGTGCACTTCATTTGTTACTGGTTTGGGTAGGGCATCTTCTATATTGAATTCAATACCTTGTTTATTTATTTATTTGCTTTTTGTTAGTTTTTTATCCTCATCCGAAGACATTTTTCTATTTTTTGTTTAGATAGAGTGGGAAGGAGAGAGAGAGAAAGCGAGAGAGAGAGAGAGAGAGAGAGAGAGAGAGATGTGAAAGGGACACATCAAGTGGCTGCCACTCACACAACCCAACCAGGGCCAGGGACAAACCGCAACCGAGGTACATGCCTTCAGCGGGAACCAGACCCGGGTCTCTCTGGACCGCAGGCCAACGCTCTAACCGCTGAGCAAAACTGCCAGGGCTATTTATTTGTTTTTAAGAGTTACCTTGAATTTATCAAAAGGGACAGATCATTTTCAGTGAATGGTAATGGTGGAGGGGAAAGGTCAACACAAAATACTGGTAAGAATGTAAAATTCTCTTTACAGTGGGCACTTAGGCAATCAGGGGTGTGCACACAGGAAAGCTGCATTCCTAAACAGTAGCATTTCTAAAGAACTTTCCTTTCGGTACAGAACACTGATTTGAATATACTTGACTATTCCATATTTATGTATAGCTTGCTAAAGGGATTTGGCAGACTGCTAGCCAACTGATTCTGCCACTTGACCTATACCACTGGGCAAGTACAAATTAAATGGGCAAATTAGAAATCAAAAGAAGTTTAATTTTCTCTGGGAAGAGACCCTCTCCTTCCCTTTCAGGATCTGTGTTCCCGTTTCAAATGTAAATCTCCTTAATGGCCAGGTCTCTGACTAGTCTCAACACAGGTTTCACTAGTAAGTTTTGGTAGTGCAGTGGTCCCTAACCATGAGAATATTGAGATTATGTGTGGAGCTTGTCAGAAAGCTGAATTCCCTTCGTAGCCTTGGGTCTAGGATTGCTAGGAAACAATGTCCAATGTGGGACATTCGTGTTTAGTGAGGGGATAAGTTGAAAGTGCCATCTTAGCACATGGAAGAATAAAACTCCAGATATTGAGTTTAAGGGCTAGGAATTTAAGGATAAAGTGACAGTGTCCCTATGACAGGGTGGGAGAACTCTAGGCCATATTCTTTCCCTGAGCCCAAATCAGTCCCATATAGACATTGTCTACCAATTCTGGAGAAAGACCCCAATGTTCTTCCCTCTGAAGGAAACACCAGACAGGATTCCCCATCCATGCCATCAAGCTTTTCCTGTTCTGGTTAAAGGAAGGCTGAAGTGGAGACTAGGATTCATTCATGAGATCCAAGACCCTGGCCATTTGTGCCCCCTCCCTTCTCCAGGAGATTTTGTATGGGGACATCATATTCACAAGCACTCCCCCCCCCCCCCGCCCCCCATCCCCATTTCCATTTGCTGGCCTATGTGGGAAAACAGACAAATTACTGGTAGTCACTTTGAGGAATCCACATTCAAATAGTACATGGGTATATACTTT